TACCTTTTCTTCCCCTTCGGAATACCGCAATAAAAACTCTTGGCGTACGTACAGTTATTTCTTCGAGTCAGGGAAAAAGGTACCCATTGGATATAGGTTTCTTCCTATTGACAAAACGCTTGTCAAGGATTTCCTTTTCCCAAAGGTCAACGGTCTGGAATTTTTGCAAGGTCTCATCCATGAAGCGGACGACGTTTACCGGCAGCAGGAAGATCGGAAGTTTACGTTACACGGTCTCACCCACTGCACTGAATGATGCCTTGCCAAAAACCCAGACAGCTAACCTTGGAAGAAGGAAATCGTTGAAAAGTGTCAACCTTGGGACGAAACATAGCTATATCCAATGGGAACGTACTTTCCCTTCCGGCCATTCTATGTTTTCAAATAACTCTATCGATCGATGAAGGGTTTAGGGCTTGGGATGGATTTATATATGGGAATTTTTTCTAGGTTTAATTTCCTGCATGCGGCTGGATATATAGCGGAAATCTGAAAGGCCGGCCTTTACCGAATGCAATTAAGTACTCCGTAGGTCGGTTTAGAAAAAAAATAAAACCATGCGGAAGATATGCAATTCCAAATGACCTTTTTTTTTAATGTTTTACCGACTGTGAAATTATGTTTTATTTAAAGTTATTTGTTTGGAATAATTATTATATGTCAGAGTTTTTTTTTTTATAAATTGTCAGGTCAATTAAATTCCATTTTGAGTTTTGACCAAAATTGTTTTGAGTAAAATTTAAACTATGAGTATGATTTTTTTTTACCCGATCGGGTACACGACCCTGCAAGCCTAAAAAGCCTATAAATACACCTCATTTCCTCCACACTAAAAGACCAATTCCTATATACTTCTAAGCTCAGTTTAGACAAGTTATTTCTTTATATTTTCTTCATGTTTAGTCTCCAAATGAGGAGCTAAACTCTTCCATCTTGGTTTTGCTACTTTGAAGCTTAATGAATTGTAAGTTGTGAGTTATTTTCTTTAATCTTCTTCCTTGAATATTAATTAATTCCTATTCCTATTTCATATTAATATTTTGAGCATTACTTAAAGGAACAACTAGTTTTGTTTCATATATTAATTAATACTAGAATCGGTCGATTAATACGCGTGTTATTAATTCTGTCATTTCACGGTAGTAAACTTGGATTATTAATGCATGCGTCTCATTAAGTGGATAAAAGCAAAACCAAGTCCCCTCATCATTAATTAAACCACATAAGTCGTTCATTTTCGTGCTTAAAGAGAAGTATCCTCTTGCTCGCTTCCACCTTCATCTTCATCATCTTCATAATGGAATATGCCCCGGTGGATCATGTCTTCATCACCTACGTCCAGGGCCATCCGCTGTAGTTGTTTTTGACAGTCCTCATAACTCGCGCGGGGGACACGAAGTGGCAACGTGAGTAGTGAACGTTTAACAGGCCCTGGGAGCGAAATGTTTTGGTCCATTTGAAATTCCTAAAATAAGTAGTTATGAACTCATAAATTCGTAATTGAACTCTAAATCTAAATTGAACAAATTTATAAATTCAAAGGTTTTGAACTCAAATTCTAAATCTAACACAATTTCTAAATTTCTAGATTTTTATAGCTAAGTTCAACTCTAAAATTCCAATTATTCATAAATTCGAAATTTGAACTCTAAATCTAAATTGAACAAATTTATAAATTTAAAGGTTTTGAACTTAAATTCTAAATCTAACACAATTTCTAAATTTCTAGATTTTTATAGCTAAGTTCAATCAACTCTAAAATTCCAATGATTCATAAATTCGAAATTGAACTCTAAATCTAAATTGAACAAATTTATAAATTCAAAGGTTTTGAACTCAAATTCTAAATCTAACACAATTTCTAAATTTCTAGATTTTGAAAATTAAAAACAATTCTATCTCCCCTAGTCGGATTTCCCAATTCCGACTAGGTAGTGTGTATTTAATTAAGCCCTCCCTAGTCGGATTTCTTAATTCCGACAAGGGTAAAACACCCAATTCGAAAGCCCTCCTCCCCTGGTCGGATTCGCCAAATCCGACTCACGTAATATGGTAACCTATTTCACACTCCCGTGTTTTGGCTTGTCAGACGGGACTTTCCCGTATTTTGGTAAAAAAACTCCATATTATTTATCAGGCTCTACGCTTGTGTGATAATAATAGCTCTATGTGGTCATCAAACATTTGTTCACCGTGAACGTATCCTCTTTATTCAAAGGTATAAATAGGAAAATACAACAAGGGAAGTTACATCGTATGCGACTTCTACAAACCTATCCGCTAGTATTGCTCGGATGCTAAGAATAGAGAAGCCGTGTAGGCTATAAACACGCATGACACAAAATATCCTAACTATATGCAAAGTAATAGCTAAAAGATAATATGGTACATTCTTTATACATTATTTAATTATTATTTACTTAAGTGTATGCGTATGTGAGATATACGCAGTGAATGAATGCCATGCATGCGTAACGTATCACCATGCCATGCATGCGTGACTTATCACGCCCCCGCAGTCGCAGCGGAAGGAGGCCGAATGCTGAGACTGGACCGGAAGTCTTCGAACAAAACCCGAGGCAACCCTTTAGTGAAAATATCAGCGTATTGGTGACGAGACGGGACATGAAGGACTTTTATTTGTCCACGAGCAACCTTTTCACGAACAAAGTGAATGTCCATTTCAATATGTTTAGTACGTTGATGTTGGACGGGATTGCCAGAAAGATAGACGGCGCTAATGTTGTCACAGTATACCACGGAAGCTTTGTGATGTGGATGATGTAGTTCAAGCAACAGGTTACGCAACCAACAAAGTTCGGCGACGGCATTAGCGACACCCCTATATTCGGCCTCAGCACTAGAACGTGACAGAGTGGGTTGGCGTTTAGAGGACCATGAGAGTAAGTTGTCACCCAAAAATACACAATAACCGGAAGTGGAGCGGCGAGTGTCGGGACACCCACCCCAATCGGCATCAGTATAAGCAACCAGTTCGGTGACGGGTGATGAGCGGAGATGAAGACCAAGATGTGAAGTGCCTTTGATGTAGCGGAGGACCCGTTTCAAAGCGTGAAGGTGAGGCTCACGTGGGTCATGCATGAAAAGGCATAACTGTTGCACAGCATAGGAGATGTCGGGCCGAGTAAATGTGAGATATTGTAGCGCCCCCGCAAGACTACGGTACATGGTAGGATCCTCGACCGGTGGCCCGTCCGATGCACTCAACTTGGAGTGTGTATCGACAGGGGTGGTAGTAGGATTACATGTAAGCATGCCGGCCCGTTGTAAAATTTCCGAGGCATATTTAGATTGAGAGAGGAACAAGCTGTGATGATGCCGTGTGACGCAAATTCCTAGAAAGTAGGTGAGAGGCCCGAGGTCGGTCATTGCGAATTCTGCCGTGAGAGATGAAATAACTTGCTGGAGAAAAGAATTAGAGGATGCCGTAAGGATTATGTCATCTACGTACAACAGTAGATATGCCGTATGAGTGCCTTGTTGTGTGATGAATAAAGAATGATCACATGTGCTATGAGAGAATCCAATGGTAGTGATATATGTAGCAAAACGTTGATACCAAGCCCGAGGGGCTTGTTTAAGGCCGTAGAGGGACTTTAGTAAACGGCAAACATGTGATGGATGGGAATTATCACGATAACCCGGGGGTTGATGCATAAACACAGTTTCCTCAAGATTGCCGTGGAGAAAGGCGTTCTTGACGTCAAGTTGGTGTAGGGGCCAATTGTGAGAAAGAGCTATAGTGAGTACCGTACGGATGGTAGCGGGCTTAACAACCGGGCTAAAGGTTTCATCACAGTCAATGCCAACCTGTTGAGAATTCCCATTAACCACTAACCGAGCTTTGTGACGTTCAAGGGACCCATCTGACCTGTACTTGTGTTTAAAAAGCCACATGCAACGAATGATATTAGCATTAGGAGGACGAGGAACTAGCTCCCACGTCTTATTCTTAATTAAAGCACTAAATTCATCATCCATGGCCAATTTCCAATTCGGGTCATTAAGAGCCTGGATAGGGGATTTAGGAATGGGAGACGGTGTGATAGTGTGGCTGAGGTTAAACAAAGATTTTGGTTTGATAATACCGACCTGACTACGTGTAGTCATGGAGTGGACACGTGAGGGAACATTCGGTAATTTGTTATTGCATGGAGGGGCGGTGGGCTGAAAAATCACGTTAGGTAAACTGGAGCCGGTTGATGGAGAATTGGTGGGAGAGTGGGCATTTATTTGGGATGGTGTACAGGAGGATGAGGTGGACTGGGAAATAGTATGTGACATATTGGGAGTATGGGGAGGGGAGATATGTGGCGAGCCATGAGGGTTGTCAGGCGGAGGGGAGGCAGGATATATTAAAGGATAGAGCCGATAATACATATGGGTGGGGTCCATAGGATTTTTGGATGGAGGCGGGGTAGTGGCTTTGAAAGGAAAAATGTGCTCATCAAACGTGACATGTCGAGAAATAAGAAATTTATTTGTTTCTAAATCAAGACAAATGAAACCTTTGTGATTAGATGGAAAACCCATAAACACGCATGGAGTGCTACGGGCTTGAAGTTTATTTATGGTGGTGGGCGGCAAATGAGGGTAACATAAACAACCGAATACTCGTAGGTGAGAGTACGTAGGATGTTTATGATAAAGAAGATCGGTTGGCGTAAGAAAAGAAAGAGATGCACATGGGAGAATATTATGTAAATATGTGGCCATATGAATGGCGTAAGGCCAAAATTTGGGCGGGATAGATGCATGCAATAGTAAAGTTCGTGCAATATCATTAATTGTACGAATAGAACGTTCAGCCTTGCCATTTTGAGGAGAGGTATATGGGCAGGAATATCGAAAATGCATACCATGAATTTCACCAAATTGACGAAAGGTAGAATTATCAAACTCTTTTCCGTTATCGCATTGAAGTATTTTAATGTTACATTCAAATTGAGTGCGTATTAGAGAATGAAAACGAGAAAAGATAGAGAAGGTTTGGGATTTGTATTGCATAGGGAATGTCCAAATAAATTTGGTGAAATCATCAATGAAAATAACATAGTATTTGTGACCAAGTGTACTAATAATAGGTGAAGTCCAAATATCACTATGAATTATTTCAAATGGTCGAGAAGTAAAAGATTCAGAGGAAGAGAAAGGCAATTTAATGTGTTTGCCTAATTGACATGAATTACATAAATGGGAAATGGGTCTGTTACAAGGTAACATTTTATTTGCACTAAGAAATTTGGAAATAGGGGCCCCGGGGTGGCCAAGACGGTCATGCCAAACTTGGGCCGGGACTGTAACGAACGCGGACTGCTGTAGTGAGTGCGGAGAAGATGAGTGAAGCGGATACAATTCGCCAATACTGTTAGACCGCATGATTGGAATGCCCGTCTGAAAGTCCTTCACAGAAAAACCAAACGGGTCAAACTCAACAGATACAGAATTGTCAGTAGTAAAACGACGAACCGAAATTAAATTCTTAATAAGAGATGGAGAATATAAGACATTTTTAAGGGTGAGAGGGGGGTTGGGTGGTGGGAGGACAGTATGCCCGAATCCAGAAACTGACATGGTATTGCCATTACCAACTTGGATTTTGCTTGTAGTGCTTAAATTAGAAAAAGAGAGGAGAGAACCTGGAGAGGCCGTCATATTTGATGAAGCCCCAGTATCCATATACCATTGGTCACCGGGAGGAGATAAATTCATCGTGTGCATAGCTGCGGCCAAATCAGTCGGTGCATGTTCTGCCACGTGGACCTGCTGCGGACGAGGGCCTAGTATGCCAGCTCCAGAAGGACGTTGAAGGGGCTGATTATTCCAAGGCAGTCCTGGGTATGGGCATGGAGGGGTACCCCAACCGGGTTGTTGTAACCAGTAGGCCCAAGGAGGGGGTGGGGGCCACTGGCCGGAAGACGGAGAGGAGTCCACGCGGGCCGGCTGCCGGCCGCGCCCGCCGCCGCGTTGAGAAGAAGAGCGGCCTCGCCCACCGCGGTGTGATCCTCCACGGCCTCCACGAGTCGCGGTTGGTGCCGGTGTGACATCGCCGGTATGAACAAGAGCGGTGGCAGGGGAGTTTGATTGATTGCGGCGGGACTCCTCAAGTATTACCATCGAGCGAGCCTTAGAAAACGGAGGAAGAGGCTCCTTCTGCTGAATCAAAGAGGCCACGGTATCAAAGCCCGGAACAGAGGACAGCCCGTTTACCATGCGCAGAACAAGGCGATCATTGTCGACCTTGGCACCGACGTTCTTGAGCTTGGTGGAAAGGCCTTTCAGCGATCGGCAGTATGCAGCGACATCCGGGAATTGATCAAGCTTCGTGTTGGAGAATTCGTTTTCCAAATAAACAGCACGCGAGTGCTTGTTATCTTGGAACAAATCGGTGAGAGAATCCCACGCGTCTTGGGCGGTGGAATCGACCTCGATGATGGTGTGCAAAAGGTCATGGGAAATAGTCCCGTAGATCCATTGCAAAACAACGGCATCGAGACGAGACCATAGAGCATCGGCCTCGGCCTTGGCTGCGTCACGAGCTTGACGCTGTTCAAGTGTGAGAGATGGGTCGGTAGAGGCGGTGGCGGATGAGCCATCATCGGTAGAAGGGACGATGTGGTCAAGCACCTGGTATGCTCGGGCCGTGATTTTAAACAGCTCTGCCCAAGAAGCGTAATCACAATTATCAAGATCTAGTGTGATGGGAATAAAGTTTTTGATGTTGGAGATGGCCAAAGCCGGATGAAAAGAGGATTTGGGAGAAGCCATGAACGGAGATGGAGGAGAAAAAAATACAGCTTCTGATACCAAGTTAGAGTCTAATAAAATTCACCGTGAACGTATCCTCTTTATTCAAAGGTATAAATAGGAAAATACAACAAGGGAAGTTACATCGTATGCGACTTCTACAAACCTATCCGCTAGTATTGCTCGGATGCTAAGAATAGAGAAGCCGTGTAGGCTATAAACACGCATGACACAAAATATCCTAACTATATGCAAAGTAATAGCTAAAAGATAATATGGTACATTCTTTATACATTATTTAATTATTATTTACTTAAGTGTATGCGTATGTGAGATATACGCAGTGAATGAATGCCATGCATGCGTAACGTATCACCATGCCATGCATGCGTGACTTATCACTCAATCACAAAAAGGACATCTAATTTGAAAATTTTAAAATATGATAGGTACAATATTAACAGTTCGGTCAATATCAGTCACATTGTAAGCAATTCCTGAACAAATAACCAAATTCAAGGCATTCACGACTAAAAAGAACTTTGATAAATTTCACAAACTAATACAAACAATCATGGGCTAAGGATGTGACGTGCACTTTGTAAGGAAAATATTAGGGGCTGAATTATTGGCCCATCAGGTCACATGTCGGAAAGGAAACTGGTCCTCCACAAATCGGACATCACGTGAGATAAAATGACAATTGTTCTCTAAATCAAAAACTTTCCAACCCTTTTGAGAATAAGCATATCCCAAAAACACACATTTGATGCTACGAGGGCTAAATTTGTCCTTTTTCGGGTTTTTGGAGTGTACATAACACAGACACCCAAAAGCCCTCACATTTGTATAAATAGGGCTTTTCCAAACAGCAATTCATATGGAGTCTTTCCATTAATTACAGGTGAAGGCAAACGATTTATTAGATAAGTAGTGGCCAAAACACATTCCCCCCAAAAACGTATAGGCAAATTACCTTGAAAGCGTAATGCCCTTGCAATCTCTAGAATGTGTCGATGTTTCCGCTCCACCCTTCCATTTTGTTGAGGTGTTGCAACAGAGGAAGTTTGAAAAATAATCCTAATTTCCAAAAAGAAAGATTTTAAACACATAAATTCACTTCCATTGTCACTTCTCACTACTTTGACTTCTCTATCAAATTGTCGCTTTACCATGGAAAAAAAATGTTTCAAAATGTTTTTCACTTCACCCTTTTCCCTTAACAGATGTACCCATACACCCCGAGAATAATCATCCACAATAGTAAAAAAATAATGACATCCACATGTACTAGGTGTTCGATATGGTCCCTAAATATCACAATGCACCATGACATGTCAAATAAGCCAAAAGCACGTCCAGAATTGAGTTCAAAAACATCTTGAGTCTGTTTCGCTCTTACACAAACATCACAAAAATGAGATGAGCTTATGCATGAGATATTTTTATCCAAAATACCAATATCTTTCATTACTCTTGCTGAAGGGTGTCCCAATCTCATGTGCCATAGTTCAGGAGAGTCTACCGTCTTTACGGCACATACCAAAATTGGATCAACACTGTGAAAATAATACACTCCCCCATGTTGTTTGCCCACTCCAATCAGTGTCCTCGCAGATAGGTCCTGTATCAAACAAACCTTGTCAATAAAAACTATGATACATTTCAGTTCATCTATCAAACGTCCTATACAAATAAGATTACACGATAACCCCGGCACATAGAGCACATTATCTAGTTTTAGGCCAGAAGTAAGTTGTATACTTCCAGAACAATTCGCATGAGCAAATTCATCATTTGGTAGGGTCACTGTGATATGGGAAACATTCTTTAGGGACAGAAAATTATTCTTACTACCCGTCATATGGAAAGACGCTCCCGAGTCGAGTATCCAGTCGGTTGAAAAATTCATACCTGTAAGGTTTTCAGAAATAGATTGCACCTTACAATTATTTATAAGATCAACATAATCGCTCCATTGCTTATTTATTAATATTTCAGGTTCATTTGATACTTCTCCATGTAATCCAAAATGCACTGCTGAAACACGCTGGTCTCCCCTTCTTTCCCCACTTTTGTTTCCTGGGCACACCATTGGGAGGAAGAGCACCGAGTGCCTTTTGTTATGTGGAGATCGTGAATCGTGTGTCACCTTTGCAGAGATCTCAGGATCTCAACCACGCTTGATACCATGATAAATTTTACAAACTAATACAAACAATCATGGGCTAAGGATGTAAAACTAGAGAACGGTAAAAGTTGCATTTTTATTTCCCTGTCTCACGTCTGCTATACATCCGTGTATGTATGCTTGGTTATTACCAGAGTATGTCTATGCTCTAGTTTTACATCCTTAGCCCATGATTGTTTGTATTAGTTTGTAAAATTTATCAAAGTTCTTAGAGAGTTTTAGTCGTGAATGCCTTGAATTTGGTTATTTGTTCAGGAATTGCTTACAATGTGACTTATATTGACCGAACTGTTAATATTGTACCTATCATATTTTAAAATTTTCAAACTAGATATCCTTTTTGTGATTGAGGAAACAAATGTTTGATGACCACATAGAGCTATTATTATCACACAAGCGTAGAGCCTGATAAATAATATGGAGTTTTTTTACCAAAATACGGGAAAGTCCCGTCTGACAAGCCAAAACACGGGAGTGTGAAATAGGTTACCATATTACGTGAGTCGGATTTGGCGAATCCGACCAGGGGAGGAGGGCTTTCGAATTGGGTGTTTTACCCTTGTCGGAATTAAGAAATCCGACTAGGGAGGGCTTAATTAAATACACACTACCTAGTCGGAATTGGGAAATCCGACTAGGGGAGATAGAATTGTTTTTAATTTTCAAAATCTAGAAATTTAGAAATTGTGTTAGATTTAGAATTTGAGTTCAAAACCTTTGAATTTATAAATTTGTTCAATTTAGATTTAGAGTTCAATTTCGAATTTATGAATCATTGGAATTTTAGAGTTGATTGAACTTAGCTATAAAAATCTAGAAATTTAGAAATTGTGTTAGATTTAGAATTTAAGTTCAAAACCTTTAAATTTATAAATTTGTTCAATTTAGATTTAGAGTTCAAATTTCGAATTTATGAATAATTGGAATTTTAGAGTTGAACTTAGCTATAAAAATCTAGAAATTTAGAAATTGTGTTAGATTTAGAATTTGAGTTCAAAACCTTTGAATTTATAAATTTGTTCAATTTAGATTTAGAGTTCAATTACGAATTTATGAGTTCATAACTACTTATTTTAGGAATTTCAAATGGACCAAAACATTTCGCTCCCAGGGCCTGTTAAACGTTCACTACTCACGTTGCCACTTCGTGTCCCCCGCGCGAGTTATGAGGACTGTCAAAAACAACTACAGCGGATGGCCCTGGACGTAGGTGATGAAGACATGCTCCACCGGGGCATATTCCATTATGAAGATGAAGATGAAGGTGGAAGCGAGCAAGAGGATGATGCAAATGAACATGAAGGTGGGGGTGAACAATCACAATCGCCCCTCAATTCTCAACACGTCAGGGTGTCTCATTTGATCAACCACTGACGTGCACTTTGTCGTGTATGCATTCAAAATAATAATCAATACGACACTGATACGTAGTATAGTGTAGTAAGGTTCGTATCCACAGGGAAAGGAATACTTCTCTTTTTATAAAACTGGAAATAAATAACAGGGGGGGGTTTTAGACTGATTGATGAACTTAAATTATATTTAAGCACGAAAATGAACGACTTATGTGGTTTAATTAATGATGAGGGGACTTGGTTTTGCTTTTATCCACTTAATGAGACGCATGCATTAATAATCCAAGTTTACTACCGTGAAATGACAGAATTAATAACACGCGTATTAATCGACCGATTCTAGTATTAATTAATATATGAAACAAAACTAGTTGTTCCTTTAAGTAATGCTCAAAATATTAATATGAAATAGGAATAGGAATTAATTAATATTCAAGGAAGAAGATTAAAGAAAATAACTCACAACTTACAATTCATTAAGCTTCAAAGTAGCAAAACCAAGATGGAAGAGTTTAGCTCCTCATTTGGAGACTAAACATGAAGAAAATATAAAGAAATAACTTGTCTAAACTGAGCTTAGAAGTATATAGGAATTGGTCTTTTATTGTGGAGAAAATGAGGTGTATTTATAGGCTTTTTAGGCTTGCAGGGTCGTGTACCCGATCGGGTAAAAAAAAAATCATACTCATAGTTTAATTTTACTCAAAACAATTTTGGTCAAAACTCAAAATGGAATTTAATTGACCTGACAATTTATAAGGGAAAGTTCCCGAAATGGGACCAAAAACGTTTGTAAATTCCAAAATAGGACTGTCATGTTTTTATTCCCAAAATAGGAGTAATTACTGCCAAGTTTGAAAAATACTGTCATGTTTTAAGTCTGGTACTGTCAAAACATGACAGTAATTAGTCCCATTTGGAGAATTAAAAACATGGCAGTCCTATTTTGGAATTTACAAACGGTTTTAGTCCTACTTAGAGTAAATTCTCAATTTATAAAGAAAACTCTGACATATAATAATTATTCCAAACAAATAACTTTAAATAAAACATAATTTCACAGTCGGTAAAACATTAAAAAAAAAGGTCATTTGGAATTGCATATCTTCCGCATGGTTTTATTTTTTTTCTAAACCGACCTACGGAGTACTTAATTGCATTCGGAAAAGGCCGGCCTTTCAGATTTCCGCTATATATCCAGCCGCATGCAGGAAATTAAACCTAGAAAAAATTCCCATATATAAATCCATCCCAAGCCCTAAACCCTTCATCGATCGATAGAGTTATTTGAAAACATAGAATGGCCGGAAGGGAAAGTACGTTCCCATTGGATATAGCTATGTTTCGTCCCAAGGTTGACACTTTTCAACGATTTCCTTCTTCCAAGGTTAGCTGTCTGGGTTTTTGGCAAGGCATCATTCAGTGCAGTGGGTGAGACCGTGTAACGTAAACGTCCGATCTTCCTGCTGCCGGTAAACGTCGTCCGCTTCATGGATGAGACCTTGCAAAAATTCCAGACCGTTGACCTTTGGGAAAAGGAAATCCTTGACAAGCGTTTTGTCAATAGGAAGAAACCTATATCCAATGGGTACCTCTTTCCCTGACTCGAAGAAATAACTGTACGTACGCCAAGAGTTTTTATTGCGGTATTCCGAAGGGGAAGAAAAGGTATTGCTTGGGAATTAATCAGGTATTCCGTATTTTCCAATTGATTTTTTCACTTTAATTTTTCTAATCTTGACATATCGATTAATCTTTTTTTCTTTTTTAATTTGAGGTATTCGGAATCTTGTATTTCATATATCTGTAGTCGAAGTGCCTTTCATGTACTGTATAAGCTAAGTTTGCATAATTGCATATGTAATTATGGGTACTTTCCATTCAGAGACGACTGGACCTTCAATTCCATAATTGACATAAAGGAATTAAATAACGTGCGCTGCAAAAAAGACGGTATTCCGAAGGTATTCCGTATTTCGAATTGATTTTACCACTTTTTTTTTAATCTTGACATATCGAATAATCGTTTTTTTTTTAATTTGAGGTATTAGGAATCTTGTATTTGAAATATCACTAGTCGAAGTATATATGATGCATGTGTATGTACTTTCAATGGTTCTTCCCTTTTATTTTATACACGACGTATAGATGTTGCATGTGTGCTTTCAATATTTCTATATGATCTTGTTTGTGATTACTTAAATTTGATCATTTTATATTATATTTTATATTTTAATTGCAATGTGTAACTTTATTTACGCCCCAGATTCTTGTAATGATGACATTATTATAGTTTAATCCTATATACATGTAAGCATTAGAGCATCCCCAACGCGGACTGTTTAGTCCAAGAAAAATACGGCCAGGTCATAAAAATAGACACCGTGCGGTTGCAAACGACTCCAATGCATGTAGTGCTTACTTCCATTTTGCTGAGCTGGACAAAAAAATGGTGAACACCGTCAAAGAGACTTTGTGAGTAGAGAAAGCCTTCTACACAGGCTGACTCATCAAATTTCTACGATTAAAATAAAGCGGGCTGGTCGAAAAAAGGAGGGAAACAAAAACACTTCTACGCCGCCAATAAAAAGATCGCGCTAGTAGAGCCAACCCTCATTAGGCAGAGTTTTTTTTTTTCAGATTGCTGAAGCGGCGAACTCTGGCTATTCAGGTATGTCAATTCTTAATTTCCTCTATTTTATTGAAAGAAGAAGCAGATCCCAAGTATTCGGAGTATTAAAGCTTTTTACATGCTCTTGATTCGTTCTTCCCTCTTGAGTACTTCGTATTTTATATTCAATTTAGATTCAATTTAGATAAGAGAGAATGAAATATAGCAGATTGAATAGTTAATCAGAAACCATGAAATTTGCAATATGCAAGGCTATTGCATATTTGAGAATTAATTTCTAGAATCATTGTCTTCTTTAATTGCTAGAATTGTTTGGGTTGCTGGTATGTAATTTTGCAATTAGGGTTAATAATGAGTTAGTAACCGGTAATTCTTTAAAGCTAAAGCATACGGATTAGAATCTTTGTTTTCTTTGTCTTATTTTGACAGATATGCCATTTCTTTTGACCATGGATTTTAATTTTTTAATGTTTTCTTTACACCCCTGCCTTATGTGTGTGTGCCATAAAGATGAATTAGATACCATATGTGTTATGGCCTGGAGCTTTTTTACTGTGACCCTCTTTATTTTGGTGGCCTGGAGCTTTTTTCCCTCACTTCTGTGGTCTGAGAGTAAAAGTTTGCCTTGACTTTAGAGCTGCTCTAACATAGTAACATCACAATTCACAACTAAATATTTTAATGCTTTACATTTAATCTGTACAGTTGAAAAGCTTGAACAATAGCTTCACCGACCTAATTGGCCAGCGATATGAGAAATGTGACTTGTTGTGAGATAACATTAATACTACTCAGTTTATTGGTTGAAGAGTTTCTTGAGACAATATGATATCTCTAAATACAAACGTTGATAGCTAAACAATCTCATTTCTTGTGTTTCTTTGATTATAAGTTATATGAAGGTATTTTAATTTGGTTCTTATAATCTCTTAATTGAACCTGTATTAGTTATTGCCGTAATCTTTAATAAGATGATAAAGTTAAGAGTTTGGTTGGAATGGCACACACATGACAAAGATAAGAATTACCGAAAAGAGAAGA